GACAAGTGCGACGCCCAGAACATTGTCGACACCTGTGTCCAGGGCTACCAAGGTCGTATCGATGACTGCAACAAGAACGGCAACGACTTCATCTGCCTCTGCGACGTCTACCGTGACGTTCTCGTCTGCTACAACAACTGCCCTGGTAAGTCCATCCATTAGACAAGAAAAGAGCCAACAGATGATCTAACCCATTACTGTAGACTCCCTCGAGAAGCCTCCCGTCCAGAACACCGTAACCTCCTACTGCGGTGCCGCCGAGCCCCTCCGCGCCGCTGCTTCCTCCTCCATGGCTTCCGTTGCCAGCGTCGCTGCCACACAATCCCACGCTGCTGCTAGCGCTACCAGCGCCATGACCAGCGCTACTGGCACTGGATCCGAGTCCGAGTCTGCGCCCAGCGCGACTGCCAGCAGCTTCGAGGGTGCCGGTAGCTCTTTCGGTGTACCTGCCGGTGCGGCCATTGTCGCCATGTTCGCTGGTCTGTTGTAGAGTAGCATGTTCGAGAGATGGACTTGTGGTTCGTGTAGTTGTGAATAGGATAATCTTTAATCGGGGATACGAAGTGTAGGCGATTGGCTGGATAACTAAGACTGCGTGCGTGAATGATGTGTGTGTCGTGATGTTCGTCCCATTGTTGTGGTAATCGACACTTTGATATCTCGGTAGCTAAGAGATAGGCCTATACTTTATGACTTGCATAGGAAAGTGTGATGCGAGTAAGAGGGTTGAGATAGTGAGGACCGTTTTACACAAGGAAAAACTTTACAGGTGTGCTGACTACAGCAACATAAAAAATGCAAAGTAGGCGACCCAACGTTAATGTAGGCTCTATGGTGTTAAGTTTTTTCCTAGGTTGACGTGGCATGATGTAGGTGAAATTTTGTAGAATTTGAATGTGGATTGATCATCTAGGCTCTATACTCTCAGCAACCCTTATTGCAAGCAAATAACACGCACGTACAACTAAGTCCTTCCCATGCTCCTCGCTTTTGGCCAATACCGAAAAGATATGGCTGACCACTGAAAGCAACAAAACGCCATTTTCCCATGCACATGCAACTCCGACACCACTTGTGTCAACAAATCTACTCCTCGTCGACAACACGGCCCCACTCGTGTCCCTCCATACCGTCGCTACCCCACATGATGCCCTTGAGGGAGCTCTTGAAGTAGCTCGCGTACGCGCCAGAGTCGCCCTTGACCATAGGGACCTCGATATCCTTTCCACGGAAGTGGATCTGGCTAATAGGAGCGACGAACCACGCAGTACCAGCCGCGAAAGCCTCGACAAGACGGCCCTCCTTAGCCGCCTCCTCAATCTCAAAGACGTTGAACTTGCGCTCAACGACCTCGAGAGTCTCCAGATCGGCTGCAGGGGAGGAAGAAGTGAGTCTTGAGCGGGCGAGTTCTAGGATAGACCTCCTTGTTACACCGTCGAGGACAATACGCTCGTTAAGGTCGGCAGTGACAAGCTGTAGCTTTCCTTCCTTGGTCTTCCACACGACGAAGAAGTTGCTTGCGCCTGCCTCGGTGATGGTGCAGTCGTCGCCGAAGAGCCAGAGGATCTGGTGGTATCCCCGCTTTCTCGCTTCGCCTTGGGCAACCAGCGAGGGACCGTAGTTGGCACCAACTTTGGCGTAGCCGAAACCGCCGGGCCATGCGCGGCACATGTCGTCTTGGGAGGCGAGCAACTTGATACCACCGCTCATGTCGCCCATAGGTGCGAAGCAGCATAGGATGACGAACAGAAGAGCCTCTTTCGGTCGCTCAACACCGAGAGCGGGGTCGGAAGCAATCATGGTGGGACGAATGTAGAGGAACTGTCCTGGTCGGTCCTTGGGGAGCCATTTGGCACCATCGGTGGCACAAAGCTTGACAATGAGCTTGAGGAGTTCCTCAGGGTCGAATGCGGGGAGAGCGATACGGTTCGTGGACATGAGCATGCGGCGGCAGTTCAGGTCTGGGCGGAAAAGACGAAGTTTGCCGTCGTATCCGCGGTACAGCTTCATGCCCTCGAAACATTCGGTTGCGTAGTGCAGGCATGAGGCTGTGGGTGCGAGAGAGAGCGGGCCGTAGGGCTTGAGCTCAGGTGCTGCCCAGCCGGACTCGACAGTCCATTGAGCTTGCACCATGTGGTCGGTGCAGACCTTCTGGCTGGCCATCTCTGCTGAGCCTACAGCGGGAACGGAGCGCGGGGCACTGGTGAATGTGCAAGAAACCTTGGAGGCATCGAGTTCAGCGAGAGGTGCGTCGACGACATCTTGGCTTTTGCTTGCGGGCTCGTTTGGTGGTGTGGCAGTGATGGAGTTTGTGAGCGATGCAGAGTCGATTTGTGCTGGGGCGTTCTTGAGAAGCGCAGATTTGATGCCGTCTTGGGTGAGTTCGGTAACAGTCTCGATATGGTTCGGGGGTGTGACGGCGCTGGGTGCCATGATTGCTGTGTGTAAGATCGGGTAGTCGTTAAGCTAACAATTGAGATAGCAACGGGTAGACACAGAATCTACGATTGCTTCTGTAGGGTAGGGGAAGTAAGTAGTTCAATGTGGAATGAGAAGACGGGTACCCTGACGTGCTCTTATACAAAGGCCTTGAAAAAATTCGGTCAAGAGTCACACGCGTCCCTATCACACGCGCGGGAGCAAACCCACCTACCCGAACGATCCATCGATGTAATGTCTGCCCAGCCGCCTGCGGATTACGGCGGCGGTCTAGTGTGTTCCCTTCAAGAATGCAAAGATAAAGGGTTCCACTTGCAGCCGATTTAGACCCTCTCTCCAGAGAAACCAGTCTGGAGACTGATTGCGCCCGTTTGCCTCTTCCTTCTATGACATCAAACGTCTTTCTCGTTGGTTGGACATCACACAAGCAATTTGCCGTCGAAGAGAACGCCGAAAGACGCGTCTTCCAGAAGCCGTCGAAACCGGGGTCGTGACGTTAGCGTACCTGAGGACTAAGGATGCGCATGGCGGGCGTAGGGCGTGTGTGCCGAGCCTGCGGTATCCTTGTACCTACCGCTAGTATCCGCGACCAGTTCACGCGTCCGATCCCCGGACATGGAGATGGGGGATTGTATAACAAGCGGTGCCATATCGGGCCTGTTTAAATGTCGGGGTAGCACGAGTGATGATGCGCAGTATCTGCGATGTCGGACTGAACTTCCAGAGCATGAAGTTGGGGTCTCGTGGGAGAGGGCGACGTAGCTCGGTAATCAGCGGTACAAGCGATGGGGAACTTCACCGCAGGGAAAAAATGCTCAAGTGACCTTTTCAAAACAACAGGGTATCATATTCTACGACGGCCATGCCGATTGCAGTCTTTTCAATGGCGCTATCTACCGAGGCCCCGTCACGATGCCTGCCCGTACATAGCCCGCCACCACCTCTATCCGTCGCAAAGTGAACTTCACGATGCCGGAGATGACGACGGATCGCTGACCTGACTCGCCGCCAATGTCTGGCTTGCCCTCAAGCTATCGATGCCCTTCATGATGCCATCTGCAACCTCGCCAACTCGTCCTTCAAGCGTGCTAAAGTCCATTCTGCTGATTGCAGCATTGATTTGTTCCGTCACAAGTTCGTCCTGCACGACTTCCGCTGTAACCTTGCCCTCCGTTCTCCAGTATTCCTCGCGCACGCCTCGCAACGCTGGATCGCGGTTTACCGAGTTTGTAAGTAGAGCAAGCGCGCGCATCTTGTTGAAGGTGTCTTCGGACGTTCGTGTGGTTGCTTCGATGCGTTCGGCGATGGAATCAGGCTTCGCGAGCCAGCGGTTCGTGCTTGTAGCCCAGAGGACAAATGCGAAAGCCATGTCTACCACTGCGAAGGTGACGTAGCGTAGAAAGCGGACACGCCAGTAGGCCGAATCGATATCTTGCACGTACTGTGCGCGCTTGTTGAGCGTGATGTCGTACGTGCCCATGTACCACACTTCCACCACCATCATGAGCAGTCCCACAATCGTTGCGTGTGTGCGGAACCGCGAGCCTTCACTTCCCACAAGCGATGACGTCGCGAGACCAAGAACCCCTAGTTGAAATATGTGCGATGTGACGATCTTGGGGAGCGAATACAGGAAGTGGTTTTGCTGGTCGTTTCCGTTGGCTGTGGTGCACCAGACACAGTTCAACAGCGTGTCCGGGCCATATGCCAGGTATAACAGTTTGTTGCGCACACTCGAGGTGAACTTTGTCCGCAAGGCATCGTCCTCGTCTGTAAGCGGCCGGAGGTGCCGTAGCCGTGCAAACAAGACACTCGTCTCGGTTCGTATGTGGCTCTGTGTCTTGAGAAATATGTTGTCCGGTGCGAATCGCGACAAGGAAAGAATGAGGCACGCGACAGCGCTCGCGAAGAGCAAGTTCAGCGCCTGCTGGACCCTCGGGGGCGTCGGCCGTATTGGTACGCTCCGTCCGGTTGCGCGCGCGAGGTTGATCCAGTCGAGGACGCGGGGTATAAGGAAGGGCCCGAAGATGATGAGGATGGAGTGGACATTCTGGGGGAGAAACGTCAGGCGCGGGATGACGACGTAGGACACTACCAGCAGCACAATCGAGCGCACGTTGAACATTGTGGGTGTCGCGTTATCATGGGCGAGTCGGCGAGTGCTGTGGTGTCGCTGAGGACATGTGTCCTCGCATTCGACCAAACGTGTGGGTGACGTGTGAGCGTCGGCGGAACTGAAGCGCGATCACACGTGTTAACGCGCTAGTATTCAATCCCCGACTTCCACATGACTGTGAGGCCTCAACACTCACTCGATCGAGAATTGTACAGCTTCACATTTGATTCTCTGCAGACTTTTCCTAGTATTCCAATCTGTCGTCACGCTTATGTGCAAGTTCCATCAAAGACTGACTGTTTCACGACCTTCCCGAGGTCACAACATGTCCATCGTGATGGCTTGGATGAATTTGAGCGATACATTGCCGGAAAAACTCCTGTCTTCCTGAACTCTTCGCTATTACATTATTTGTATCTATCCTAGTAGCCATATATCGCCGAGAATGACCGATCGCCTCACAGACACGCAGAAGCAGGCTACCAGCATAGACCTGCTCTCCATCGAAGATGTACCGGTGGCTCACGAAGACGATCTCCCAGATATCTGGCCCATCGAGTGGAGAGCAACTAAGCTCGATTCCGCACTCGTCCTTTTCCACTTAGCGCAGTGCGACAAGGCCCTCGACGAGAGCGCATGGGACGATCTTGTGGTGAACTGGACAAGCGAAGATATGGCGGCAGTCGAAGCGCTCTTCCCAAGGAGAACATGGCCCGAGATGTTACCGTATCCAAATCTAGTTGCGTATGCACGATACGTTAACGGATATTAGACTTCTCCCTGGAGAAGTTGGCTCCGGACCCCGTGTGTTCTAGCTGTAGCCTAGCAGAAGGGTGTTGTAGCAGCTTCGTTGAAGAAATCAAATTACCCACTGCTGAGAGATGATAGCTATATACCAGCATTCGAATATGCTCCTTCTACATACTCGTAAATTGCTCACAAATGTATCCATCTCACATGTGTCCCTCCTCCACAAATCTACCCTGTATGGGTCTCCTATTGTCTCTCCCGGGAGATCCATGTGTTGGTGACTGAGCATAGAAATGCGCTGGAGTGTGCGTAGTGCTGATGTTGCGGGGTTGTTCGTCGCCACTATATTGAGTCCCTGTCGGACTTCCTTGGTTGTCGGGGAACAAAGGTGGAGAGTATTGCGCACGCGTCGATGGATCGCTGGGTCGTGGGTAGTAGATTGGAACCTGCTGTTGAGGCGCATCACTTGGAGACTGTCGTGCTGTGGTTGGAGTGGGATACGAATGTTGACCGTCTTGCCTCAGTGCAGACTGAGGATATTGAACTTGGGTACTCCAAGGACCTGGCGGAGAGTTGCGAACGTCGTCGGTAAAGAATTGCTCTCCGGGTGGTGACCGACCTGTGTGCCCGCCTTCAACAGGAGATATGTATGGGGGAGCGTGACCGTACGAGGGAGGGCCTTGAGCCGAGTAGGGCGAGTTGTATTCGTGGCTAGCGGAGTGTGAGTGTTGTTGAACATGACCAGGATAATGAGCAAGGGCGATAGAGCCTGCCTGGTCGTGCATGGAAACATACTTGCTAGCATCTGTGTCGGCCATTTCATGGGGAACCGTGGTGGCAAGTTCAGCAGGTGGGAGACTAGACGGAGTCTCGGCCTCTTTCTTCTTCAAAGACTTCTTTCGCCGGTGTAAGCAGAAGAGTATAAGACACAGAAGGACAATTAGTGCCACCAGTCCTCCAACTGTGCCGCCAGCGATGGCTGCTACGTTTGACTTCTTTGAGCTTCCACCAGATGCTGACTCTGTAGCTGAGGGAAGAGAGCGAGTTGCCGATCTTGCTGTGAAAGTAGGTTTGAGTGTATAGTAAGTAGCGAGATCTGGATGGCCCCAGGTTGATGGCGAAGTCTTTGTAGCACCTCCGGTAGGCCTGTTCTTATTAGCTGTGACAAGTTTTGATATGGACCGTAAAGACGTACCCGCCTCCAACTGCGGCAATAATAGGTGAAGGTACTACGTAGTCGTCTAGCTGAGGGCTAAACTTGTCCCAAAGCTTCGAGTCCCCACCGTTGTATCCTAGAACCATGTTGTGTTGTCCTTGTCCCTCGGGTGCATCGCATTTGTCGTAAAGGGGAAACCAGCCGCCTATGACTAACATCTGCGCATGGTTGACGACGTTTGCGCTACAACCTCCGTGACCAACTTGAGAGGGAACATCATCACTGCTGAAGACCTTGATCCATGTGAATGATGGAAGCGATAGGATGTAGACGTCGTCGTACGCTGCTGCTTTTTCGAAGCCGTATCCACCATATAGGTATCTGTTGCGCGTCAGCATAACTCGATCAACATAGCACACTTTGTATACTAAGTCTACAGACGATACTGCAACAGTGGCAGCGTGGCATATCCCAGCGACTTCTTAGATTCTGAGCAATCTTGGAAAATCTTGGGCTCTGATGACCTTTCTTTTGTTTCTATATCGACGATCTCCAGAGCCGGCTTCAGGTGTTCTACAGCTGTACGACCAGAAAGATTTTCTTACATGTTGAAAGACGACTGGTCATCGGGCCAGGTGACATCAGCACAGAATTGCCTCCGGGTGTCAGGTATATCGCCGGAAGCAGTCTGTGTATACCATTTTGACGAAGCCATGTCGTAGACATGTATGGTCTAGATAGATTAGCTTTGCCAGACATAACAGCTCTCTCGATGACATACACTCATGTTTGCCTGATACGACTAGTTAGCACGGAGACTTGGCTGGGGTTCCATCTGCACCTACTGCGTCAAAGCTACCGTTGCGGTACGAGTCTTCGATGCCACCGAAGTAAACAAGCACGCCGCTATCTGAGACAGGTAGAAATACTAGTTGTCCTTCAGCTCTCCCGATGTCATCTGGACCGGTTGTATTCTGTAAGTCGCCGGTAGACATGTCAAATCGCATCAGACCGCTCGTAGCCATTGGGGGTCCAGTCCAACCGGGTGTTGTTTTGTTGCTGAGCCAGCCGCCAAAGTAGAATCCCAGCCCACGACTTTCGACTTGCGTTCCTGCGCCATACGATACTCGTTGCGGGTTCTTTTCGCCAATTGTCTCAGTAGTATTCCATTGGTTGAGAAGAACATCGTAGGTCCACATGCTGAAATCCATGGGGCTAGTACCTGGGGCAAATTCTCCGCCGAATTGATAGAAGCATTTGTTCGTTTCATCTGCCCAAGTATAGCCGCCTGAAACGGTAGGTATATGACCGGGCTTTGAGTATGCGGACTGAATTGGCATTCCCGCATCGACGGTCGAAGTGTTTAAATCACTGAACAAGAGCCAATCATCTAGGGGTCGATAGTTAGACAGCTGAAACAGAATCGAGAAGTATTTCGACCTTCACTTACTTGAGTAGTTTGACCTGAAAGGGACTTGTCCTATCATACCGCCATCGATGTAAAGCCTTGAGTCGACCTGCGCCGTTGAGTGGCCCCATCTTCGACAGAATCCTTTGACGGGATCATCCTGCTGTGATGACGACTGGGTGATTAGGCTAAGTAGAACAAGCACGCCTGGAAGATTGAAGGCCATGATATGCATTCATGACGTTCCTGAACATGCACACGTGAGACGCAGGAAATGCGAGAAGTCTGTATTTCAAAGCAATGACAGCTGTAGGATGCCGTAGAAAGAGGGGCGGGCCGCAGACGTTAGAGTGGAGATGTGTAGGCCTGTGATTGTGCTTCACAGAAGGCACCAGGAGCGTGTAGGTGGAAGGTCCGCGATTGTCGTTCGTGGCGCACTTCGTTGGGATGCAATCCGGTTTACCGATCTGACTGCATCGTAATATTGCTAGGCGACCCTCTTGTCAGCCATACAAGCAGCGGTGGGACGCAGGTCGCCAATGGAGTCACAGCATAGGAAACACGAGTGATCTGCAGGCCCCGACAGAGGCGTCTGACCGAAGAAAGACATAGGTCTGGGTTAGAGTCAGCGAAAATGCGGCGCCGACCTGCCAAGTGTGCCCTGCTGCGACGAATACCGCGTGTGGCATGGACGACCGAATCAAAGCAACAGGGTAAGAAAATGCCGTTATTGGAACCAGTGGTCTGGCGTCGTACTCAGGCTGAATCCGAAGCCGCTTCTCAGCCGCTCTCTTGTCCGCCAATGCGAAGCTGCGTATCTCGCTTCTTGTGGAGTGACACAGGGTGGAGGCGCGGGGAGTCTTTCAGCTGGGTGTTCCAGCATTACTCGTAGCCATTGACCCCAACAGTCTAGATCCGCACGACAACGAACTTCAGCAGCAAACCAATCACCACGAATGGTTGGTTCCTTTTCCAGCTCCGTGCAGCTTATGGTTACCAGTAAGTGGGGGCGGACCTAGATACCGGTGACGGGACAACGCATATAGCCCCCAGCGCCACGCATAATAATCATCAGGGAATTATCTCCGCCATGAATTCTACATCTCTTCATCACGGCGAAGTCGACACCAGGGTCACAAGGCCCTTGAGAGTGGTGCGCACCGAAGTATGTTGGCCTAAAGCGAACCCGCAACTCCAATACCGACCGAAGTCGACGTGGACGAGTTGCAGGATTAGAACGGCTGTGCATTTCTTCTGGGTCTGCTCTGGAAAAGGCAAATCCATTCGTAAAGGAAGGACCTTAGGGTTATTGGAGACCGTTGACAATATGTGAAGAAAAGAAGAGCAGGAGCTTCGCGGAGAAAATTGAATGGCACAAATAATTTGCTTGGCGCGCTAGCGGCTTATCTAGCTCGCAATTCCCGTCCGTCTTCGCGTCATGACCTCGGGCGGGTTTGGCCAACAACACAACTCATCATCATTATGTACACTCCGCGGGAGATACTTCATATCACATCTTGATTTGTACAAAGGGCCATCATGTTCCAGTATCTTCTTAGAGTATTGCGTGTCTTGCTCGCGTCAACCAAGGTTCCCGAGGTCTCCATGCACCCCAAGAAAAATCACTAGTCAACCATTACATCAATCATGCAAGTTAACAGATAATAATCGATAGCATGTATAAAGGCTTTCCGATGTCGCAAGGGTACTTTTGTCTTTCCTTAAGAATCACTCCGTAGGTCTTTCTACACAGATCCTCAGCCAGGTCAGATCTTCGCAGGTCGACATCAATCCAGCTTCCACATGCAATCGGCCCAGGAAGGCGCGAGTCATCACGCCATGAGATTCGGAACTTCTAATCAGCAAGTCCGGAGATCTTCCCGAGATGATACGACGGTGCTGCCCTTATGTTGCGCCCCTAAAGCACCCTCAATCAACACCTTCATGCCACGACCAGGACCCTACGGTACACCATGGTTTTCGTCTGAAGAGACCCTATGGTCACTGGGGCTAATCGAGCATGGTAGATTCAACAAGCCTGATACAGTCCTCTTGGCCTTCATCGTGGACTGCGCGATGAAGCTGTACATATGCGCCAGCATCACCCTGCACTGTCTAGAAAACTTGACGGATTCGGACCTGGTACACACTATTATTCAGGCAGCCTACAGCAATGTCCTGGGACAGATACAGCGCGTTGATCTGATGAGCCGCCAAGCGCTCGCTTTCGGGAGGTTTTACCTGAAGGCCATGGCAGACTTTGGAAAAATTCGGGAACGCTGCAACATCACGTTTGGACAATACATCCAACACCAACAGACTCGGAACGATTTCGCAGAGAGATTCCTCATCTACGATAGTTTTGGGGATGACGATCTTGGAATAATTGAAAATGCTTTCAAGTGGGTATACGGACAGTCGCCCTCCGCAGTCGTCAACTACATGGAAGAGAACATTACAGAGGACTCGTCTGGTCGCGATCCTATCTCGATACGACAGTGGGTCTTCGGATTCAACTGAGAATCCTCGGTAACGCAATTGAGGCATCGTTCATACAACCTGTAGCCTTTCATCGACGAAGGGCTACGGTTGGAATTCGGTATGTTGTTAGTAATCGTCTGGTAATTAACCATGAGCAGCTCTTTTATTGACATTTGAAGGGGGGGAGTTGATATGGCAGATGGCATGTCAAGACATGGGACGAAGTTTGCACAGAACTGGGATGGTGATCAGGTGATAAGAGAAGGAATTGGTATCCTACAAAAGTCATTTGAACAAAAAGAAAGAAGAGGCGTATCAAGAATCGAGAAGAACAATGCAAAAGCTTATTTAACTCTATTCGTTTGGCAATTAAATTATTGAGAAACGCCTTCCCACAATGCTTAGAATTGGTCCAGTCCCAGACCTCCATCCCACAGAAGCCAATATAGCGCCTGCACCTCATACAAGGGAAAAACTGAACAGGTCTGCAGACTACATTGACCCAAAACCTTGCAAAGGAGGTGACCTCACGTCAACGTAGGCTCCAGGCTGTTCAGTTTTTCCCTAGGATGGCGTGCCTCCGAATTTGATTGCCCATTATGACCCATTGTGCTACGACTGTCCTTTGCCCACCGTCTACTTTCAATGCAAGTTTTCAAGTGCCGGTATACAGTTTTGGCCATTTGCCCAAATAACAAAATCCCTGTTCTGTCTACCCTGACTGCATGGCTTTGGTCAAGGCCAAACGCTTGCTGTATGGGCTCAGGCTGCGCTCTCTTTGTGAGGGTGGGGGTGCTTGCGCTGGCGGCGGCGCAACTCTGCTGTTCGCGACGGTTGCCCGATCGTCGAAACGGTTTCTTGCCGGTCCACGCGGACTGTCACGGGCCCGTCCTCCATTTCTTGCCTCGTGTGGGCTACGCGATCGGCGTACAGGCTTGCGCTTGGAGTAGGGACTCGGGCTGCGATCGCGACTGCTATGGTATGGCGAGAGTGACCTGGAAGGCTCACGATGTACTGAATGCGAGACGCTTGGCTGGCCTCTTGGGGCTCCGTTTGGTGGGTTACGCTCGTCTGACGTATCCATGGGATCCGCGCTCCCCGACCGCGATCTTGAGACTGACCGTCGAGCAGGTCGCCGCCTGTCTCTTCTTGCACTCCTGCTCCGCGACCTGTCGTTATCACTCATGCTTCGCGGCGCTCTTCCCCTGGCATTCTCATGTGATATCTGCATGCGCGCTGACCTGGATCTTGACTTGGATCTGGTTCTTCGGCGGCCTCGCTCACCAGGACTGAAGGAGCTCATGCGCCGCCGTGTGTTCCTGTCTGCAGTGTCGGATGCGCGTGAGGAGCGCGAGTCCATAGAGACCGAGCGCCTGCTACGCTTCCGCAGCGCTTTGTCGTGGTCCCCATGATGTCTTCGTCCGTTGTGCTTGTGTCGTGGGGGAGATCGCGAGCGGGAACGGGAGCGGTTGGTCGAGATGGTGGAGACAGAGTCTGCAGACGACGTAGAGAGTGAGCGCGCGCGCTTGCGATCCTCTTCCTTCTTCTTCAAGATCTCATCGGCGACACCCTTCTTGCGCAGCAGGTCCTCGGGTACCTCGGTGGTGAGTTTAGGCTGCAATTTGGGGTTGAGTAGTTGCTGTGTCCTAGAAGGCCGAGACTTGTACGGGCGTTCCTGCGCGGGCGCCTTGCATTCGTAGCTGTAGTGTCCTCTCTTCAAGCACTTCTGGCAGAGAGTATCTGCGGAAGCCTTGGAGCGGCCTGCACCCGGGCGGCGGAACATGACGGACTTGGATGCGGTACACGTCGAATCCAAAGGGTGTTTTTGTTGGCCAAGTCCTTTGGTATTGCTGGTGGGAAAGGAAGGAAAGGAGCACGACGCGACTCTTGCGTCAGAGCAGCAGCCGGTAAAGACGCAATCAAGCCTCGCCAAGTTCAATCTTCTTCTGTCACTTTCGGCGAGGAAACGCGACGGGCCTTGGTCGCATGCGGTAAGGCGCAGCTTCAGCTTGGCCGGAGAATTGGGCGGAGCGGCATGACTAAGCCCGCCCACGGGCGGCTTCCATCATCGCTTCTCTATCCTTCACTCGCCTTGCGCTGCACCCCGCATACCAGCCCGGTCCCCGCCCGCCCTGTACTGCTCCCCGTCGACGACCCAATTCACCCGTCGTCCCTTGTCTCGCGCCCTACATCTGGGTGCTTGGAAGCTTCTTACACGCTAGACGTCCAAACTACGTCGTTGCAGGCCTGTCGTCAAGGCTACTTCACCTTGGCTCCCAGCAAACCCATACACCTCTACACTTTTCCCACGAATGTCGGCAC